AACGTTAAGCCAAGGATATCAGGCATCTCCAACTCCTTTTCAGGAGGCCATCTTTTAACAAATGCTGTGGCCAACCTTTCAAACAAACTTTTGACACCCCTTTTAAGCTCCCAAATTAACCCTAGAATCCCTACTCAGTGGGCCCGTATCAATAAACTCAGCCAGATCCCGTTTTATGTTCCTTCCACCATGATCCTTCTTCCACGTCCTGTACATAGGCTGCCAGCAGAAAGTTTGTCCCAGATTAAAGGTGGATCTACTCACCCCCACAGACCTGGATTAAAAATAGGTCTTGGGCTGGAGAGATGGCTCAGTCGTTAAGAGCACTGGCTGCTCTTCCAGAGGTCCTGAGTTCAATTCCCAGCAACCACATAGTGGCTCACAGCCATCTGTAATGAGATCTGGTGCCCTCTTCTGGCGTGTGGGTATACATTTGAGGCAGAATGTTGTATACTAAATAGATAGATAGATAGATAGATAGATAGATAGATAGATAGATAGATAAAAAATAGGTCTTGTTAGCATTCAGACATTATACTGACCTGCCCTTGGGGACCTGGCAGGAGACGTCATCAACCACAACCACTCCCTATGCACATGTGCTTGTCAGCATTTCAGGCATCACACTAGCCTGCCCCCAGGGCCCTCGGGTGACTAAAAACACCCTCTGCACACATGCACTATCTCAGCATTCGGGCAGACACTTGGCCAGTCCAGGGTCCTATGACCACACCACTACATATGTAGTCTCTACACATGTGCTATATCCCCTCATTAAAGACAGGCCCTGCCCACCTTCCCTCTCTTCTGCCACTCCCATCTCCAGAGGCCAATCTCTCTCCATCGCCACTTTTCCCTTTCCCCTCTCCCAATAAACTCTCAACATGAGCCCTGTCACATGGTATCTCTCTCCTGTCATTATAAAAATTGGAACAGGTCCTCCCACTTCAAATTATTAATAAAAATAATAATAAGTCCCTCACAGATGTGTCCAGCTGCTTGGGTTTTAGTTAAACTCAGGTATAGTGAAGTTGACAACAAAGAAGTCCTTTGTTGGGAGTGAATCCAGATGGAAGGGAAGAGGGGAGGAACTGGGAGCAGTAGAGGGAGGGAAAACTGTAATCAGGAGACACTGTATGAGAAAAAAAGAATCTCAATAAAAAGGGAAATTGTTAAAAATTATTTATAAATGGGGAAAAAAAGAAAATACTTGCATCTATATTCTTCAGGGAGACTGGACAATAGTTTTTTTTTTCTGACTTCCACATCCATGGGCATGCCTACACCCAACAATAAAAGTATTTTTTTTAAATTTTCTGGAAAAGATAGCCACTCAGAGTCCCCCAGACTCTGGCCAGTGAGAAGACAGACACTCGGGGTCCCATCAGGCCCTGGCCAACAGGAAGACAGCTTGGGGACTGTTCTTCACTGTCTTATTTCGATAAGAAATGTGAGGTGGAGAAGTGGAAGAGATAGAGAAGCGTAATGGTTCCTGTGCAATGAAAAGATGCAGAAAGGAAGAAATGGATAAGGTGAGGGGTGGGCAGACATTGGAGGTCTGCTTGCCACTCGGATCCATGGTGACAGGAGTGAGGAGTAGACTGAGAGGCAGGTCCGCTTGTCACCCGAAGCCATGATGATGATGTCTGGCTGGGCTGCTGCCAAGAGCCATATCGGGGTCCCTGGTCCTACAGCAGTCAGGGTCTCTGTTGCTGTCCATGGCTCCTGTTGCCTTCGAGTGCTGATTCCAGTGGCCTGGGTCACCTCCTCGGTCCATGTTTGGGTTCGCGATCCTTGATGCCACTGGGGCCATACCGATCAGGGTGTCCTTTGTTGCCACCTGGGACCATGGTGACAACCAGGCCTAGGCTGCTACCGAGGACCATGTCTGGGTCCATGATCCTACCCATGTCTGGGTCCGTGGGTCTACCATAGTCCAGTTCTATGCTGACACCTATGTCCCATGGTGCCACGAAAGGTCACATGAAGGCTGGAGTCTGTGCCACAGCCTGTGGCCTTTTGGTGGCCAGGGACGATAGTGCTACCAGACCCATCCTAATCCAAGTAGCCGGGGCTAGCACTTGGAGCTAGGCTGTCAACCAGGCTGAGCTGTTGCCTGAGGCCATGTCTGGGTCCATGGCCCAGCTGTAGCCAGGGTCTGTGCTAATGGCCAATGCACCTGTTACCATCCAAGGCCATGCAAACACCTGCAATCAAGGTCCATGTTGCTGTCTCAGGGCCATACTGCTGCTGGTGCAGTGGTAACATCACACTCAGTCACTGTTTGAGGACCATGTCGGAGTCCATAGTTCTACTATGGCTGGGGTCTGTGTTGAAGTCTGGGTTCTGCATTACCACAAAAGGTCACATAGAAGCCCAAGGTTAGGACAGCAACCATTCCCACCTTAGGGGCCAGTCCCTCCACCTAGAGTCAGATTGTCAACCAGACCCAAGCTGCTGCCAAGAGCCAAGTCTAGGTTTGTGGTCCAGGTACAGCTGGGGTCTGTGTGGATGTCTGTGGCCTGTGTCACCTCAGGAGGCCCTAGGAACCAAGTAAGATGAAATCAAAGGGTCATGCTGAGTCAGCCACGCCCTTTCACTGGCCCTGGGAAAGCTGGCCTTGCCTCTCGCTGGACACTACAGCAAGAGAGCTGGCCCCTGCACACTGGAGAGATGGCCCTCAGCCCCTCACCACAGGCCAGGGTGAACGACCCAGAGGGCATGCATATAGGGGATCTGACCTACCCCCTTGCCTGAGGCAAGTAGCCCCAGTAATCTGAATGACCAGCTTGATTGCTATCCAGGCCCACAACCAGACCATGGGTTGACCCACCCTAGCATCTACCCCATCTAGGACCTGCTGGGGCTGGAGAAGGAGCTGGTCCTGCAAGCTCTCCAGGACTGGGGGCTGCCACAGAATATCCCAGAGGAGTTCTGATGAGGATCCAGGGATGGTGGTGTACCAGAAGCCAGAGGCCTTGAACCAGACCAGTGACTCATTACAATAAACTTTTGTCAGTAAAACTGATGGGACAAAGAGGTGCACTGCATGGCATACCTCAGCCTCCATTGCCACCAGGATGGGTGAAGAGGGATTGGAGAAGTAGGAGAGAAGGGGGAGCAAAGAGATTTTTTTATGTTGTGGTTTTTGTTTGGTTTGGTTTTGAGTTTTTTGTTTGGTTGGGTTTTTTGTTTTGTTTTGCTTTTGTTTTTGTTTGTTTGCTTGTGTAGGGGGGAATGTAGCAGGGATGAAGGGAGGATATGAGGGTACCAGGAGATGAACACAATTGGGGTGCATGACGTGAAACTCCCAAAAAGCCGATAAAGAAGTTTCTTTAAAAATGTCCTTTGTTTTTATGTCTTTATCTGGCAGGATACTAATGCTGGTCCTGAAAGAGAGTTTGGTAGTGCTCTTTTCTTTCCTACTTATGACTGGCTTCAGAAGGATTAGTGTTAGCACTGCATTGAGAATCTGGTAGGATTCATCAGTGAATCTATCAGGGCCTAAACAATGCTTCATTTGCAGATATAATTATTATTAGATATTATTATTTGGAGATATTATTATACTCATCATTATTGTTACATCGGTCTTACTGCTCCTAAACAGATCTATTTATATATATTTAAAGAATATAATAGTGAGTCTCTAGCTTTTGAATTGCTGCTTTCTTCATCTGTAGTTTTACTAGCACGAGGCTTTGCTTTCTGTTGGTTGGTCTAGGTAAGGGTTTGTTGCTCGGATTTACAAAGGACAATTTCTTTGTTCCTTTGATTCTTTGAAATTTTTTTTCATTTCCATTTGATTGATCTTTGCCCTGATCTTAATTATTTCCAGCTATTAATTTGGGGTTTGACTTGATCTTGTTTTTTTAAGGCCCTAAAGTGTACCATTAAGTTGTTTATGTTAAAGTTCCCTGATCTCATAATGCAGATATTTAGAGCTGGAAATATCCCCCTCAGACTATTTTCATTGTTAGTTTTAGCATGCTGTGCTTTCATGATTAAGTATCTCACTTTTAAAAAGAATCCTAAAATTTGATCTTTTAAATTTACAGTTTAAGTCTTCTTAGCGAACATCAAGTAAAAAAAGGTTGGGTCCCCTTTTCCTTCTGTTGGTTTCTTTTGACAAATTTTGATGTGCTAGTTTTTGTTTTACCTTAATACATTTCATATTGTCGTATTTCACTATTATCTCTAAGAAACCAATTCTTTTTCTAATGAGAAACAGAATGGGAGCAGATTCAGATTGGATGGGAAGTGGGGAGGATCTTGAAGGATTAGATGGAGGAAAATCATAATCAGTATATGCTATATGATAAAAGAGTCTATTTTCAATAGAAGAGAAAAGGAGAGGGTGAGCCCCAAGTCAAGGGACCATCTACTTGAGGAGGACACTGAAAGACAGAGACAGAAAAAATGATCATGCAAAGATCTAGGCTGAGCCATAAACTTAGTGTCTGTGGTGGTTTGAAGGAAAATGGCCCCCAAAGGGAGTGGCACTATTAGGAGGTGTGACCTTGTTGGAGGAAGTGTGCCACTGTGGGGTCAGGCTTTGAGGTCTCTTTTGCTCAAGTTTCCCTCAGTGTGACAGGCAGTCAACTTCCTGTTGACTGCAAGATGTAGCATTTTCAGCTCCAGCACCACATCTACCTGCTTGCTGCCATGCTCCCCTTCATGATCATAATGTGTAATTCATTTCCCAGCCACCCAGACTCAAATAATCACACAAAAACTATATTAATTACAACACTGCTTGGCCAATGGCTCAGGCATGTTTCTATCTAGCTCTTACATCTTAAATTAACCCATTTCTATTAATCTGTGTATTGCCACAGGCTTTAACTTACTGGTAAGGTTCTGGTGTCTTTCTCCTTCAGTAGCTACATGGCATCTCCCTGACTCCGCCTACTCTCTGTCTATATCTCTGTTCGGATTTCCTGCCTGGCTTTATTCTGCTAAGCCATTGACCAAAGTAGCTTCTTTATTAACCAATGGTAATAAAATATATTCACAGCATACAGAGGGGAATCTCTCATCAATAATGGACTGAACCTCTGAAACTGCAAATGAGCCATCCTCAATTAAATCTTTTCAAGAGTGGTTGTGGTTTTGGTCATGGTATCTCTTCACAGCAATAAAAGCCTAAGACAGCACCTTCTTCAGTTAAGTATTCCTGCAAAATTGTGATGAGTACCTGGATCAGAGTAAGAGAAAGAAAAGATAAAACAATTATCAGCATCACAAGAAACATTTGTACACAGTTTTATACACAGGTCTCCCATTGGCTCAGCAACACCAGGGAAATAAGTCCCAGAAAAGAGTTGTGTTACATTAGCAGCCTTTGTTTTCTTCTTTTTTAAAAACAAACTTACTTCTGTATTGTATGTCTGTGTGTATGTTTATACAAGTGCTGTGTGCACCTGCATGAGATTATGTGCACCATGTGTATGCATGAGCCTGTGAAAGTCAGAATATAGTTTTAAGAGGTCATGAGCCACCATGTGGGTGCTGGGAAGTAAACCCCCAGGACATCTACAAGAGCATCAAGGGCTCTTATTCGCTGAGCCATCCCTGAAGCTCCCATAGTCCTTATTTTCTTGACTGACTATCCCAGTTCTCCTAATGCAAAGCAGTGAGAAGTATTAACCTTGCAAAGATTTTGCCTTAAGAGGCCTGGCTCTAGAGGGGTTCCCAGGTGTCCCCGGGCATGTCCCCAGCTAAGACCCTGGGCAGTGGAGAAGAGGGTGCCTGAACTAGCCTTGTCCCATAGTCAGACTGACGACTATCTTGAATATCACCATAGGACCTTCATCCAGTGACAGATGGAGATAGAGACAAAGACCCACATCAGAGCACTTGACTGGGCTCCCAAGGTCCAGCTGAAGAGCAGAAGGAGGGAGAATATGAGCAAGGAAGTCTGGACGGCGAGGGGTTGGTCCACCCACTGAGACAATGTGCCTGAACTAATGGGAGCTCACCAAATTCAGCTGGACTGGGTCTGAACGAGCATGGGATCAAACTTGACTCTCTGAATGCTACTGACAATTGGGACAGACTGAGAAGCCAATGATAATGGCACTGGGATTTGTCTCTACTGCATGTACTGGCTTTTTGGGAGTCTAGTCTATTTTGATGCATAACTTCCTAAGCCTGGATGAAGTGGGAAGGGTCTTGGACTTCCTACAGGGCAGAGCACCCTGCCCTCTCTTAGGACTAGAGGGGGAGGGAGGAGGGTAAGTGGGAGAGCAGGAAAGAAATGGGAGGAGGGGAGGAAGTGGAAATTTTGAATTGCATTATTTATAAAGCAATATAAAAAAGATTTTGCCTTGGTGGGCCCATAAATAACTAAGCACCATTTAAATACCTAGAACATTCTAACCAACATATTTACACTGCTGTCCTGAGTGTCTAAAGCAGTTATACTGACTCCTTTGTTTGGGTGATAGTCTGAGATTTAATTTAGAAACATCTAACAAGGAGTTAGAAATTGTTGGTCAATCTACTGAAAACTTATGGTCACTTAACCCTCTAAGGTGTTAACAAAACATGAACAATGAGGGGAATGACTTTCTCCACTAAGAATTTTATGTGTAGAAGAACACTTCAGTCTACGTGTAGTTCAAAGCCCTGGTCTCAACTAATAAGCTGAGGTGCAATTCGCAGTGGAAATGAATTAGTGAAAGTGGGATCCTGTGGACAGATAGGGGGAGGCTCCACAATCCTCTTCCCCAGAGTCACAAATAAAAGACCAGAAGAGAAAACTCTTTCCTAAAACAGCCTCAGGAAACAACACAGAACACCCCAGCACTCATCTCCAGACTCCCTGATACTTTCTGGTGACTCTAATCAAATTCAAGGCACAAGTCTTGAAGGTTCTTACCATCTCCAAAGAGTGTAAGCTGCAGGAAGCAGTAGAACCAAAAAGGCAAAAAAGGCAAAGTGCACATCCTTGGTTCCTGGAGAAAGAGGTAGATAAAGATGTTATGATGTAATCCTGTCAACTTGATGCAATCCTCTGTGCACATCTGTAAAGGATTCTCTAGATTAGGTTAACTGAGGTAGGAGGATTCACTTTAATTGTGGATGGTACTGTTCAAAGGTTCTTGGCTGACCACACATGCGCTGATGACCACCTGCCTCAAGAACCTGCTGTCATCACTCACCCGCCTAAGTAGACTGGACCTTTCGATGGTAAGCCAAAAATAAACTGTCTTCATTGAGTTGCCTTTGTAGGAGTATCTGAAGGCAGCAACAGGAATAGTAATCAATGCAAACACTAAGAGAAAACCTACTGACAAGGATCAAAGACACCACAGGACTGACGCTAAAAATCTGTATAGCCCATGCCATTTCTTATCAGAGGTCAACTTCCCAGTCTCTGCCATGTACTAGCATCACCATCCTTATCACAGACATCTTCGAACGCCAAAACATTTAGCACAGCTGAAGTATGGTATAATAATGATGTGCATGGTGGTACACTCCTGTCAGTCCAGCCCAGAGGGGATGGAGCCTAGGGGTTTGTGAGTTCAGAACAGTTGGGTTACAAACATTGTCATGGATAAAGGAAGGAAGGAAGGAAGGAAGGAAGGAAGGAAGGAAGGAAGGAAGGAAG